GGCCGCGCCAATCAACGGGATAGTACGATGCCGGTGAAGCAAACTCGTCCACTGTCCCGTATTTAGGGGCCCCCCATGTATCATGCATGGACGTTTTGTAGGCCCGGGGTAGAGGAGGGTGCGTAGCCTCCGTCTCAGCGTCCTGTCAATGCAAATGTAAAAGTCACACATAGAAAAAGCGCCTGGCTTTTGTCAACTAGTAGATACAAATGTACATACGTACAGAGCAATAGAGAAGTTGGTTTAAGACACTATTCTTTGATGGCATTTCAGGGGCATATTGGATTACACATACCGTTAAGTTCCGCTAGATGGTGCTTTTAACTGAACGAAGCAAAAAGCAAAATATAGGTAACGGACTTCGGAGTTCCGTACGCCCTTTATTTCAAAACAACGAGGAATGAAATGTTTTTACTTCAATCACATCACATCATTTCATCTACCTACTAGTGTTAACATAGACTTAGTAACATAGACTTGGTACATGTATTCACCCTAGATGGGTTATTGAGGTCTACATGTATATGTGATCAGAAGACAACTTGTGCAGTACCTTAAAGATTTCATTGACGGCGCGCCTGTAGAGCGGGATCGACAGATAGGCACTGCGGTCATGCAGCGTTTGAAACTTGGTAAATGGTCGGGCTCTCTTTGCTTTAACCTTGTGCATGAAACATATCCAACGGCAAGTTTACAAGGATGCCGTGACATGGCAAAAACGGTCGTAAGTTGCATTTTCACAGATTTTGAAGTTAATTGTTTAAACGTAATAAACAATGGAACTATATTGCATATATATTATCGATATCTCAGATAAGTAACTTTTCATTGAATGTAGCATATGAAGAAAAATAGCAATGATAAATGGGTTTATCCACAGAACGCCTGCTTGCCTTATCGCTTAGACTGTGCAAGTCAAAAAGAACACAGAATCTTCTATGAGTGTCGCTGACAGTTTCATTTCGACAGTAAAATGTTGTTAAGCATAGAATATATGGTAGGTTAAACACTTAAAGCGCTTCTTTGAGTGCTTCTTGGTGCAACGGCAAACAAAATGTCACTTAGACATTATAGTCACGGTCTGTGATACTTTGGTGTTCAGCTATATATTCATCTATCTATCACAACCCAATGATGGAAACCCGCACCCATGGTGACAATACATACCTTGGAGTACAGTCCACTGCCGTACCAACGAACCCAGAGGGCGCTTGCACCGTTCACGGTGGAGACGATGCGGGCCGGCCACCACAAGGTCTTCCCAGCATCCTGGGCCCACACGAGTCCACCCGAGGTAAAACCACTCATCTGAAATACATCCAGATCCAATATGGAACTCAACAGTACTCACAGTGTTGCATAAACTTCACCCACCTTTCTACTAGAGTTAGTTCAATGAATTTCATTGTGTACAGTCATATGCAAGCTTTTGGTGGTAAGTATATAGTTGTCGTGAACACGTCATGATCAATAAAACTCGTGATTTACAATAAAGTACATCAAGATGTAATATTGACCTGTGTAGCCTTGTTCAGTCGGTCAACTCTGCGCCACTTCACTGGTATCGGCCCATGCTGCTCAGTTTTGGCCGAGAAGCTCATCTGTGAAATATGGCCAAAAATATTCAGCGATAAAAAGACTAGTACCAACAACGTATACATTGTAACATATACATAGCGGAAGGAGGCTCATGTTTAAAGGAATTCTGGCCATAGCTCGGGTTTGACAGACACAACATGCATCTAGAAAAAGGGGGAAAACTTTTTACTTGCATAAACGAATGTTGTAAAACAATGCATTTTCATTTTTGTGCTCATATAACATTACAACGGTAGCTATAACGTATGGATATACGGTAAGCTAAGCACACCTTTGCCGTAGACGTGTGAGTGGGTTTCTTGGACCCCTGCAGCGCACATAGGAGCAAGATGAAGAGGAACAGGGCTCCCCCTATCGCACCAACAGCGATGAAAAACCGATCAGCTGGAATAGGAAAAGTAGAGACATGTGATTTCCTATTTAGGTCGAAACACGTATATTCAATATTGTCCATTATTGTTCAATTTTTTTTCGGGGCCAAAGGTAGCGGACTGATCAGGAAGCCGGGGAAAAGCGAGGTTCAGTCAGGCTAGGTATATAGTAAGAACACTTGATCAAATACAATATTGTAGCAACAGGCGAGTAGTAATTATTGAAACAGCAATGTAACAAATTGGATCATATACAAAATGTACGCAGTGTTAGCAACTATTGCATTGCGTCAAATGTTACATAATAGCCTCCAAACATTTTTTGATAAATGATTGGAATGATGCTCACCGCCACAGACCCTGCCGGGACGTGACAAGTTCCGATCTATGAAGCCTGTCGGGCAGGAACACGTGTAGCTGCCAGGGGTGTTCACACACTCACTGTGCTGGAAACAGTCGTTACGGCTCTCATCACTACATTCGTCATAATCTGCAAAGAAAAGAACAAGGAACGAAAAACAAGTGAGACTCTGAAAGAAAAAGAGTGGAAGATCATGATGCTTGTGACATATTTCCAAGCAAGAGGACGTTACTTTACTCAAATAATTTTTTCATCCGCTTTTACTATTTCCCTGCTGGTATATCAATCCTGCAGAGAATTTCCCTTATACTTTGGAAGCTTTCTGTCGACATATGTAGATGGTCAAACTCAAGGAAGACTAGCAAGACTACCAGTGAGGATCTACCATTGATGACAAGAACCATTCATTTATTTTTGCGTACACAATAGAATTGCATGTTTTGTCTACAATAGAACACAGCTGTCACCGACCTTGAGCTGTGACGTTCGTGAAGAGCTTCGTGGTACTGACTACAGCTTCAAGCTTTGATTTGACCTGAGCGGCGGTTGTGGTGCCCTTTTTGGTCTCCAGAGTGTGACTGCCGTACAAACTGCCATTCCGGAAGGTGATGTTAGAGATGGAGAGGAAGTCAGAGCTAAGCCCCACTAACAGATACAGATGGATTGCCTGTGTAAAAGGAAACAAGTTGATCAATTGATTCTACTTAAAACTTTTTAAGCTGCGTCAGCTCATACGTCTAGAACATATAACGCGCATTGAACTTCAGAAGGAAGTCAATCTTATAGAATATTGCCGCATTATGAATGGATAAATGTTGGTGATAACGTTGGTCATCATGAATCGAAAAGACATCCAGCTAAAACTAACAGGCGCTAGACCTGATCAGTTGGAAAAAGATGTAATTATTAGTACCTCGATTTCGTAGTTCCGTGCGTACGTCACGTAGATAGTAGATGACTTGTTGGCCAATTCAACTACGTAGTTTAAGGTAGTGTACTGAAACTCCACATTGAACCGGTCGCTCTCTGAAAGTGTGATGTTTGATTAATAAGTAGGTAATTGTTATTTGCAAAATTTTACTGTATAGAATGTTTATTTATACTCATAGGCTGCAACGAAAAATTGTAGTTAGTTTTAATGATTTGGCCATTATAACTGTTTGGGCTTTTCTAACTTAATGCATTTATAACTATATCTGCATATGTATATAACCTCGGCACTTTGTAGAAAGGTTCATCATTAAAGGTTCATCATCTTATAAGTATCCAGAACTGACTGTGATCTCATATCCTATTCCATGAATGTCGCCTAAACCATGACGTACCAAGACAGGTTCCGTTGTCCTCGTGGTATCCAGTTTTGCACACGCAAGAGAAACTTCCCACTGAATTCACACAGTTGGCGTTTTCATCACTTGAGCAGGCTGCACTTGTACTTTCGCACTCATTTACATCTTTAAAAATCAGGTGCAATACATTTTGATTAGAAAATTAGACATTGGCGAAGACAAAGTTAAATTGTACATAGAAAATTTATGTAAACATTTAAAACGATAAAAGTATATCTATGCTTAGAACTGCATACGGTCTTAAAACACGATCAACGTACTTACAAAAATACCTTAAGCACAATAGATATCAACGACTTACAACAAATGCCAATATATGTAATGTATCTAGAAATCCCACTCACCAGTGCACGAAGTACCATCACCACTGTAGCCCGACTTGCACACACACTGAGAGCTGCTTCCTTGGTTTATGCACACTGCGTTTGTGTCACAAGTTTCAGTGCAGCTTCCTATGGCTAGTAAAACATGAGCAAATAATAAAGCCAGTCAATTCACCATAGTCCAGAAATGTAAAATGGAAAAACAACTTACATCTTGCTATGTTGGCAATTCAATTCAATTCAACGCACAATCTAATTCCACTTCAATCATGCTCTTTAATACATTTGAGATGTATTACAATCCTATCGATCATACATTACTCACCCAAACTGCAATTTTTAGGTCCTGCTTGTCCTTCTCCACTTCCCAGCTCTAGACATGTATCCCCACTCGTTCCAAAACGGACATTCTCATTAGTAGAAGTGACATTCAAACATAGGTGTGTATACAAGGCGCAGTTGTTGTCCACAGCAACGTTTGATGCTTTAAGATCCGTCAACGTCAATGATGTTCTTTGTCCTGCGTAGGTCTTTAAGAAAGCAATGTCGTATTCTGAAATTGTTACGCCAAAAGTGGATGACCTGACGGTAGCATCTTCTAGGTTGCCATTATTGGTAAAGAGGATAACAGCACTCAGAGTTTCTTCAGTAAAATCATCACTGCTGATGTTTCCTGCTGATTTCTGTAGAGTGACGCTAACGTCCACTGTAGCGGGGTAGGCTTCGGAATACTGGCTCTGGCTGACCTTCGTCATTTTTAGATTCGTGGCGCTGAAGACTGTCAATGGATAATGAATGCAAAGATGTGTTACATGTAGGTTGTCAATAAAAGATACGCTATATTACTGGAAGATGCATTTGTCCAATCATTGAAACAGTGCATCTTCTTGATTAGTGTATACGAATACGATAATTACATATGACACTGACGTCCGATGTAGCGGGTTAGGCTTTCCACTCACCAGTGCACGAAATACCATCACCACTGTGCATATCAATGTATTATAAGTAATCATTCTTTTATTCATGTTGTATAGCAGTGTATGTTGTCGCTTTTATATGATTGTGTAGTATATGTAACGTAAGTTTTTTTTTTTTTAATCCAGGAAGACTAGTTTCTTTTGCAGTCGCTTTTGCAAGTAATGGACATCCCAGTAAAGTATCAAGCATCAACATACTACCATGATAGTTTCTAATCAGATAGTCAAACTAGCTTCCATCAATGCTAAGCAAATTTTGAATATGCTTAAAGGTGTTCCAAATGAGTGCAGGGCCAGTAGAGATTCTCAACGATCATTTCCACCACCCGGTTACACGTACCTGGTGTTTGAGGGATTTGAGTTGTCACTGCCGCTGATGAAATGGGTATAACTTTCGTGGTATCAACTGCCACAGGCACCGTTGTAACAGTTATGGTACCTGTAAACAAAGCCGACGGCACCAAAATGTATGGTTGCTGTAACGACCTTAAATGCAAATCTCCCATTCATACCGCAGATTTACCGCTTAGTCAACATCGAAAATTTGGAGGTACGTGTTTCTTCCTTTCAAAAACAGTCACTGATTGAAGAATATTCTATTTAGTATTACTGCATTGTCTTTCGTATTGAATTGTTATGGTTGGAGCAAACGATCAAAAGGCATACATAATGTCGGCTGCACACTTGTGTAGATAATTGGATGCAATGTACAAAACAGGGCTTTGGCTATGTATCTTCCATTAGTGTGTAAAGTCCGATACAGAAACCGTGTTTATGAGTAAACAAGGAAAGTAGCATTCCTACCTGTTTGTGATACAGGTGTTACTAAAGGTGTTACACTCACTGGAACAGAACCAGTGGTTGACACATCATCTATGTTATTGGGCGGAGGCATACATTTTTGGTTAGGGTGTTATGTAAAATAATGAACAAATGTGCACAATGAGCAAATGAAAGAATATACACTTTCTAAAGATTAATGGATTGAAATTAAAATGGCTATCATTTGGCTCTAAAGACAAATGTCCGAGAATACCATACAAAGCGTTGTACAAAATGACCTCTAGGGTCATGGAATCCGTAATGCCGAGTAAGGTGAAGTTTCAGTTACTTGTTTTAGACGCCATGCTATGGTTAAGGACACAATGTCATATTCAGGCCACAATGTTGTGTTCTTTGGAAAGGCACTTCACAACTATTTTTTTTACTCTGCTCAGTAAAATCAAGTACCTAACTTCGTGTCAAGACGTCCTCTTGCTTGGAAGGGAAGAAGAAAGTGCCGTATTTAAGGAAAGTCGCACCTCGAGCAAAATAAAGAACGCACCGCACTTGTGGAAAAGAGTAGGGGTCCAACCCGAGGTAAAAGATCAAACCTTACTATACAGTCTGGTCTTCACAGCTTCGTTCCGAGACGTCCCCTCTGGTGAGACGTAAAGCCGGAGGTTCCGTATTTTAGGAAAGCCACACCTCTAACTCTCTAAAGAACGCACCGCACGTGTGGAAAAGAGTAGGGGTCCTTCCCGGGGTAAACCTAAGAGTCTGGTCTTGCGCAGCGCTAGCTTGTACGTACTGTACAAAAGTGATCTGTCACGCGTTGACAGGGATTGTCGAATAGGCAATACAAACAAGTCCAGCGGATATTTCAACAAAACAAATTTCAGACAGGCATCATTCTATATACTCAAACATTCGATTCACTCTCACCTGTGGTTGCATAAAAACCAGAAGTAGTCATATTCTTTCCTTCCAACGTTGTGCCTGACGTCGCTATATTTATAGTTGTATTTGTGATGGGGAGGATGGGTGATGTGACCTCGATTGCTGTGTTTTGGACAGTAGTACTTGATGTTGTGAAGTTGACGGTAGTGTTGTCTGAAGTAAGCGTCCATGTTGTAGCGTTTGCTGTGGTGTTTACCACCATGACAGTAGGGCTTGATGCTGTTAGGTTAGCTGTAGTATTGGCTATTGTAAGCTTTAGCGTTGTGGCGTTTTCAGTTTTGTTTACTACAGTAGGACTTAGTGTTGTGAGATTTGCTTTAGTATTGGCTATAGTAAGCCTTGGTATTGTAAGGTTCGCTGTAGTATTAGCCATGGTAAGCCTTAGTGTTGTGACATTTGCCGTTGTGTTTACCGCAGTAGAACTTGGTGTTGTGAGGTTTGCTGTAGTATTGGCCATGGTAAGCCTTGGTGTTGTGATGTTTGAAGTTATGTTTACTATAGTCGGACTTGGTGTTGTGAGGTTCGCGGTAGTATTGGCCATGGTAAGCCTTGGTGTTGTGATGTTTGCTGTTGTGTTTGCCGCAGTAGTATTTGGTGTTGTGAGGTTGCTGTAGTATTGGCCATGGTAAGCCTTGGTGTTGTGATGTTTAGCCGTTGTGTTTACCGCAGTAGGACGTGGTGTCGTGAGGTTTGCTGTTGTATTGGCAATGGTAAAACTTGGTGTTGTGAGGTTTCTGTAGTGTTGGCCATGGTAAGCCTTAGTGTTGTGAGGTAAGCCATTGTGTTTACCGCAGTATGACGTGGTGTTGTGACGTTTACCGTTGTGTTTACCGCAGTAGGACGTGGTGTTGTGAGGTTTGCTGTAGTATTAGCCATGGTAAACCTTGGTGTTGTGAGGTTTGCTGTAGTATTGGCCATGGTAAGCCTTGGTGTTGTGAGGTTTGCCGTTGTCGTTTACCGCAGTAGGACGTGGTGTTGTGAGGTTTGCCGTAGTATTAGCCATGGTAAGCCTTAGTGTTGTGAGGTTTGCCGTTGTGTTTACCGCAGTAGGAGGTGGTGTCGTGAGGTTTGCTGTAGTATTAGCCATGGTAAGCCTTAGTGTTGTGAGGTTTGCCGTTGTGTTTACCGCAGTAGGACTTGGTGTTGTGAGGTTTGCTGTAGTATTAGCCATGGTAAGCCTTGGTGTTGTGAGGTTTGCTGTAGTATTAGCCATGGTAAGCCTTGGTGTTGTGAGGTTTGCTGTAGTATTAGCCATGGTAAGCCTTAGTGTTGTGAGGTTTGCCGTTGGGTTTACCGCAGTCGGACTTGGTGTTGTGAGGTTTGCTGTAGTATTGGCCATGGCATGACGTGGTGTTGTGACGTTTACCGTTGTGTTTACCGCAGTAGGACGTGGTGTCGTGAGGTTTGCTGTAGTATTAGCCATGGTAAGCCTTAGTGTTGTGAGGTTTGCCGTTGTGTTTACCGCAGAAGGACTTGGTGTTGTGAGGTTTGCTGTAGTATTAGCCATGGTAAGCCTTAGTGTTGCGAGGTTTGCCGTTGTGTTTACCGCAGTAGGACTTGGTGTTGTGAGGTCTGCTGTAGTATTAGCTATGGTAAGACCTTAGTGTTGTGGAGGTTTGCTGTAGTATTGGCCATGGTAAACCTTGGTGTTGTGAGGTTTGCTGTAGTATTGGCCATGGTAAGCCTTGGTGTTGTGAGGTTTGCCGTTGTGTTTACCGCAGTAGGACTTGGTGTTGTGAGGTTTGCTGTAGTATTGGCCATGGTGAGACTTGGTGATGTGAGGTATGCTGTAGTGTTAGCCATGGTAAGCCTTGGTGTTGTGAGGTTTGCTGTAATATTGGCCATTGTAAGCTTTGATGTTCTGATGTTTGCCGTTGTGTTTACTACTGGACTTGGTGTTGTAAGGTTAACCGTTGTATTTTCCATAGTAGGCTTTGGAGACGGAGACGTTAGGTTTGCTAGGGAGGTAAATATTGGTTGGTTAGAAATGGGTTTTTAACAACGATGATGTATATAGTATATTATTGCCTAAACGTTTTGTAATAATTTTGATACATAGAAATTTGCTTTAATTTGGTAACAATGTAAGAAGGATATTAATAGTGCATATTTTTCTTGTTTAGGAATTAGCCAATTATTAACTTCAAAAGGAATAATGCTCACCGCCACAGACCCTGCCGGGACGTGACAAGTTTTGATCTAAGAAGCCTGTCGGACAGGAACACGTGTAGCTGCCAGGGGTGTTCACACACTCACTGTGCTGGAAACAGTCGTTACGGCTGTCATTACTGCATTCGTCATAATCTGTAGAAATAGAGGAAATGAGGAGGGGAAACAATGAGAGACTGAAGAAACGCCTTTCCAAGAGATCGTTTATCTCCTGTTCCTTGTGGCCAGATAAGTCTAATGTATCGGTAGGATTTCCATGAGGAAGCTCACAAACTTGAACACAAAGTTTTATGCTACTTGATTCTCTACTGCTACTGTGTATGCTAAGCATGCATGGCCGCTATTGCGGATCTACGACTAACACGATCTAGAACCTTGTATTCATTGCTTTATTCGTACCTGCAGATATGAAATAAACGTTTATTTTCACTTCACTAGAATTACTCATAAATCAACGGTCAGCACAACTTGAAGTCACCAACCTTGAACTGTAACGTTCGTGAAGAGATTTGTAGTGCCGACTGCAGCCTGCAGCAGGGAGTTCACCTGAGCCACGGTGGTGGCGTTCTCCCTGGTCTCCAGAGTGTGACCGCCGTATAAACTGCCACTGCGGAAGGTTATGTCGGAGATGGAAAGGAAGGCGGTTCTAAGTCCCACTAACAGATACAGATGGATTGTCTGTACAGAAGGAAACACGTTGGTTAGTTGTTTATGTATTTGTGATGTGATTTTAATATAATGATTCACCATCTCCTAAGACTAGCTCACAAGAAATTCCTTTAGCGCACTTTGTCTGGGGCAATTACAAATAGATTGGCGTTGTCATCGAAATGTTGTTAATAAATAGAATAAAGTGTATGTTTTGAGGCACATCCCACAATACAATAATCTTCAGCGAAGATGCATGAACCTATTGAACGATTATGATGATGCATACGTGAATAGTAGGTCTAAGTAAAGTATAGCATGCCATGCTATCGTTTGCATTGGTAAGGCGGAGATCTGAATATGTTGTTACCTCTACTTGATAGGTCCGTGCGTACGTGACGTAGATAGTAGATGACGTGTCAGCCAATTTCGCCACGTAGTTCAAGGAAGCGTACAAAAACTCCACCCTGAATCGGTCGCTCGCTGAAAGTGTGATGATTCATTTTTAGCAAGATTGTTTGACATTCACAAACAGGGGTAGGATGACAAAGTCGGATGTACTGTTACAAAAGCCTTAGTTTGATCGTCCGTTTTTTCCAGCAAATGACATGTGGCACACCTATATACCTGCAACTTCCACTGTTAACTGTCCAGCACTGTGTGGAGAAACTATGAAATATACCATTGATTTATTTCCAACATATTACTCGCCTAGCAAGGAAGTTCGTATACAATTTCATGAATGCCGAAATACCGTCAACAACATTATTTCGTACCAACACATGCTCCGTTGTCCTTATGGAATCCAGCTTTGCACACGCAAGAGAAACTTCCCACCGAATTCACACAGTTGGCGTTTTCATCACTTGTGCAGACTGATCCTTTGCATTCATTTACATCTTTAAAGTCACAAACATAAAATAGGATTAAAAGTAAGGTAACAGATTGAAGGAAAATACGAATATGTGAAAAAATTAAATAGGTTGGAAATATTTGGAAGTATTTGTATTTCTGTACGATCCTGAAAACACAATCCGCGTACTTACGAAAGTGCCCGAAACAATTTGAATACTAATGGCCTCGGGTAAATGTCATGAAAAATGTAGTCAATTAAGATATCTCACTCACCAGTGCACGAAGTACCATCACCACTGTAGCCCGACTTGCACACACACTGAAAGCTGCTTCCTTGGTTTACACACACTGCGTTTGTATCACAAGTTTCAGTGCAACTTCCTATGGCTAGCAAAACACGGAAAATAAATCAAGTCAGACCTTAGGCATAACAAATTAGATACGGAGGCGTCTATTTGTTACAGTTCAAACTAAGGTGTAATGCAATTTCATCGATATTATAACTATCCACTCCCTAATGATATGACTGTCTTGAATCCCGAAGGTGAGGTCTTGGTAAGTCAAATGAAATCAAAATTATGCCATATATCTTGTATGTGCTCTAGATTGGTTTATACTCATCATCTTATACACATCACTTTGAGTACGTTCCGCATATATTTGAGATGCATTACACAATATGCAAATTTTACTCACTAAAACTGCAATCCTTAGGTCCTGCTTGTCCTTGTTCACTCCCTAGCTGTAGGCATGTATCGCCATTCGTTCCGAACTGAACATTAGCATTGGCGGAAGTCATGTTCAAGCAGAGGTGTGAATACAAGGTGCAGTTGCTGTCCATAACAACGTTTGATGCTTTAAGGTTTGACAACGATAATGATGTCTTTTGTGTTGCAAAGGTCTTTATTAAAGCAAGGTCGTATTCTGAAATGGTTGTGTCAAAAGTAGACGATTTCACGGTAGCATCTTCTAGGTTGCCATTGTTGGTAAAGAGGATAACAGCACTAAGAGTTTCTACGGTAATATCGTCACTGTCGATGTCTCCTGATGTTTTCTGTAGAGTAACGCTGACGTCCACTGTGGCAGGGTAGGCCTGGGAATACTGACTCTGGCTGACCTTGACCACCTTTAGATCCGTGGCGGTGAATACAGCCATAGTTGGGCCAGCTGTGGTACCTTCAAACAGCACAAACAGCACAAAAAGCACGATTATTGTTATGGCCTCTCTGGCAGTTGTCCTTGCCATTAGGGCTTGAGATGCTCTACTTGCTGTATACTGTACAGCAACTATACATGCTGTTTTTTCTTTGGGGCCATGTTAACTTTGTAAACTTCCAGATGCACAATATTGCTTGCATATCAGCTATTGTAGACCGGCATCCTTGGCCCTGGCCCTTTGCTCTTTGCTTTTTTACATGTCAATTACCCTTAAGAATAACAATTCTGGACGACAAAAATGTGTCTGATATTACTAATGTACATATACCTGCATTAATTAATAATATTGCTTTTGCATCGATTGACATAGGAATTTCAACGGATACTCTTTTAACTTAAGTGATATTTTTCTTCACTATTAGTTGAGGACGACTGCTTTTATATAGTTACATTTCTATTTGAACACTGCGTTGTCGCGTGAGGGAAGAAAGTGATATTGTTACCTGTCTGTGCTGCAGGTGTAACTAAAGGTGTTACGCTCACTGGATGAGAAACAGTTGCTGTCACAGCATCTGCGTGGGCGAAGTTGTCATGATGAAGTAAGTAACTAACAGTTTAGAATACAAATATGAAACCTTTAAATCATTTGGGGCATGAAAAGTAACTTTTAAGAATTTGAGACAAAAGCCTTATAATGATGTAAGTGACTTCCAGAACGGTAGTGTTCTGCGGTATTTTTGATGCTATTAAGGTGAAAATGATGGGCGCATTAACACATAAGGCTGAATTATATTGACGCGTTGTATCTAGACACCAAGTAAAAAAATCAAATAGATAATCATTACCTTTGGTTTGAAATTGGAAATTACTGCCTAGTCAAGAAAAAAAGATATTGAAATACTAAATGTCTACAACGGAAAAAGATTTATTACCAGGTTGGTGAGTGGTCACTGCTGCTGTTAAGTTAGTAGTAATGCTTGCGGTCGTGAAGGCAGGAGTCGTGAGGTTGGCTATAGTTTAAAGAAAAAATGGAGGTTCACTGTTCTGTCATAGATGTTATAGCTTAAACAACGAGAAAGCAGAACTACTAACAGAACTAGCGCATCTAAATTAATATTGTTATTGCCATGTTCATACTTTATCATTAAATGCAAAACTAAAACTGTATGTTGACTGTATATAGGAGGACAAGGCATTGGAGGCGTCAAGAAAATACAAGTATAATGTCATGGAACAATCATTCTACTCACCTGTAAAAACACTGGGCGTAGTGATATTGGCTCTTTCCATCGTTGCACTTGAAGTCGCTAGATTTATGGCTAGGGTTAGTAATTACATGCACCAGTTGTAATACCATGTGATCGCCTGGTATCTTTCAGATAAAACTACAAAATACTCAATATGCGTGCATATTAAGTTGACAGTAAATTGTAATGGTATTAAGAGGGGAAGGATAATTGGTTACATGTAAAGAAAGTCGTTAGCTGAAAAGACAGACGTAAACTAAACACATCACAACATTAGTTCATCAGCTGATTTGTTATTATATCTATAACGTGGTCACTAAAGATCGGAAACATTTTGTAGGAACAGTAATGTCATTCGTCTTTCACATTGGGTAAAAGCTGCGTTAAGTACATGCTGCGTTGAACCAAGGTGAAAGAGCGAGGCTGCATATGACCGAGGTACATGTAGCTTGATTTGAATCGCTTTGCGGTTGGCCGCCCGCCCAACATAAAGCCGGCCCCCGAAAAGCGGGCCTTTGAAGTCGCGGACAGCAGAGTTACACGTTGCACAGCGTTGAATAGACTGCGTAAGTTTTGATACATACCAACAGTGATCCTCAGTCTTTTGTATCAGTGTAGTGGGTTCTTTATCGTTCGCGAGATATGGCTCTCCTAAAAAACGGTACCTTTACGGAACGGCTTTACGTCCAATCCAAGACGACACGAAGCTAGATTCTCATTTTCACACGAGTCAATTAAGGAAATAAGCCTTTCCAGAGGGCACAACATTGTGACATGCGATTCGAACCTACAAGTCAGCAACCTTAAGCACAAGACTACTAAACTGAATATAAATAAGAAAGCAAGTACGTCGTATATGAAACAAGTTCGCTAACCATATTGTTGGGTGGTCCTTTGGGCAGATGTTACGTTCGCAGTGATGTTTCCTTTGGTAACGTCCAGGGTGGTGAGGTTCGCTGTTTAAAAGAAACAAAAGAACAATTTATAAAAAAAGGATTTCATTACAAAAAAAATAATTACTGGCTTACAAACAGAAAAAAAATGCATCCATGAAAATCGATTCCTGTAAATGTTTCACTCCAAAAAAAGTAACGACGACGACAAAAATACATTGTGAGTTAAATCGCACGGAAGGTTTTTTATACTCACCAATAAAAACACTAGATGTAGTAGCCAGAGTTGTTAAGTTTTTCGTGGTTTTTGGAATGGTAAGGTTAGGTGTTGTGGCGTTGGCTGTTGTATTTTCCATGGTAATTTTTAGCGTTGTGATATTAACAGTTGTGTTTAGTACGGTAAGAGTTGGTGTTGTGAGGTTAGCAGTGGTGTTTACCACAATAATACTTGGTGTTGTAAGGTTTGTTGTAGTGTTAACTACACTAATAGGGCTTGGTGTTGTGAGGTTAGCTGTAGCATTTGACATGATAAGCCTTAATGTTGTGATGTTTGCAGTTGTGTTTACTACATTTGGACTAGGTGTTGTCAGGTTAGCTGTAGTAATGGCCATGGTTAGCCTCAGTGTTGTGATATTTGCAGTTGTGTTTAGCACTGTGGAAACTGGTGTTGTGGCGTTGGCTGTAGTATTAGCCATCGTAAGCCTTGGTGTTGTGATGTTTGCAGTTGTATTTACTACATTTGGACTTGGTGTTGTGAGGTTTGCTGTAGTATTGGCCATGGTAAGCCTTAGTGTTGTGACGCTTGACGTTGTGTTTAGTACAGCAGGACTTGGTGTTGTGAGGTTTACTGTCGTATTGGCGATTGTGAGCCTCGGTGTTGTGATGTTTGAAGTTGTGTTTAATAGAGTAGAAACTGGTGTAGTGGTATTTGCTGTAGTGTTGACCATCGCAACCCTTAGTGTTGTGACGTTTGCAGTTGTATTTAGTGCAGTAGGACCTGGTGTTGTGATGTTTGCTGTAGTATTAGCCATCATAAGCCTCAGCGTTGTGATGTTTGCAGTTGTGTTTAGTACAATCGGACCTGGTGTTGTGAGGTTTGCTGTAGTATTGACCATGGTAAGCATTAGAGTTGTAATGTTTGTTGTTGGGTTTACTACAGTAGAACTTGGTGTTGTGAGGTTTGCGGTAGTTGTTAATCTTTCAAAACGTGGTGTTGTAAGGTTAGCCGTAGCGTTTTGCACGGTAGGCCTTGGTGATGTTACGTTTGCTAATGAAAGAAAATATTAGTCTGTTAGGTATTATTACAGTAATGCATCTAAAACAACATATACATATGACTGTATAACAAATTGTCGTCAAAGTACAAATTATACATGTACTAAGAATTTAGTCTGGTTATTTATTGTAAAAAGGCATACAAATTTCATATCAGTAAAAGATCTATAGCAGAGCGGACAATATTAATTTACCCGCATGATATTATTTTGCACAGTCTTGCATGACAAAAATAGATTTATCTAAAGATACTCACTATACTGTTGAGGGGTAACCTGGACAGTTGTCAGGTTAGCTGTAACGTTTGCAATGGTAATGGCTGGTTGTGTCAAAGAAAGAAACAAGGATTAATTACATAGGAATTAGTGAGTAAACCTAGGATAACGGGCATGAAAATACTTTTCTATCTAACAAGTAGTTTTAGATACTCACCAGTAAAAACACTAGACATCAGAGCAGCCGGAGTTGTTAGGTTTTTCGTAGTTTTTGGAATTGTAAGGTTAGGCGTTGTGACATTGACTGGTGCATTTGTCATGGTAAGTTTTAGCGTTGTGATATTAACAGTTGTGTTTAGTACAGTAGGAGTTGGTGTTGTGAGGTTAGCAGTGGTGTTTACCACAATCATACTTGGTGTTGTAAGGTTTGCTGTGGTGTTGGCCATCGTAAGCCTTAGTGTTGTGACGTTTGCAGTGGTGTTGACTACATTTGGATTAGGTGTTGTGAGGTCAGCTGTAGTATTGGCCATGGCAAGCCTTGGTGTTGTGAGGTTTGCTGTTGTGTTTACCGCAGTAGGACTTGGTGTTGTGAGGTTTGCTGTAGTATTAGCCATGGTAAGCCTTGGTGTTGTGAGGTTTGCTGTTGTGTTTACCGCAGTAGGACTTGGTGTTGTGATGTTAGCTGTTAGTATTACCCATGGTAAGCCTTGGTGTTGTGATGTTTCCCGTTGTGTTTACTACAATAGTTGTTGTGACGACGGCTGTAAGTGTTTGCCATCGTGGGCCTTAATGTCGTGATGTTTTCCGTTGTGTTTAGTACAGTAGGACCTGGTGTTGTGAGGTTTGCTGAAGTATTGGCCATGGTAAGCCTTAATGTTGTGATGTTTGCCGTTGTGTTTACTGCAGTCGGACTTGGCGTTGTGAGGTTAGCTGTCGCATTGACTATTGTGAGCCTCGGTGTTGTGATGTTTTTCATTGTGTTGAATGGAGTAGAAATTGGTGTTGTGATGTTTGCTGTAGTGTTGGCCATGGCAAGCCTTAGTGTTGTGAGGTTTGCTGTTGTGTTAAGTACAGTCGGACCTGGTGTTGTGAGACTAGCTGTAGTATTAGCCATTATTAGCCTTGGTGTAGTAATGTTTGCTGTTGTGTTAACTACAAGAGAAACTGGTGTTGTGAGGTTTGCTGTACTATTGGCCATGGTAAGCATTAGTGTTGTAATGTTTGTTGTTGGGTTTACTACAGTAGAACTTGGTGTTGTGAGGTTTGCGGTAGTTGTTAATCTTTCAAAACGTAGTGTTGTAAGGTTAGCCGTGGTGTTTTGCACGGTAGGCCTTGGTGATGTTACGTTTGCTAGTGAGAGAAAATATTAGTCTGTTAGATATCATCATAGTAATGCATGTGTAATAACATATGACTAATTTAATAAATTGTTGTAAAAATACAAATCATATATGAGCATTGAATGTAGTCTGGTTATTCATCGTAAAAAGGTATAAATATATCACTAAAAGGTCAGTAGTAGGGCAGGCAATATTAATCCACCCGCATTATATTATTTTTCAGTCTTGTATCAACTATGTTCCTAACATCAGTGCCAATATTATCAACATTCTGTAAGCAGCATAGCGGCAATGTTTACAACGGTAATGCCTGATTGTGCCAAAGAAATATAACATTTATCATTGATTACATAAGAATACAGCCTTACGGACTATAAGAGGGAAAATGGAAACGAAAATGTCTTTCTATCTATGATTTTGAGATATTAGCCCGCCATTGGCACCTCCCCACAGCTAATGAGAGCTGTCCATTTACTGTGGTTATATCCACATAGTGCGAGACTATCAAAAGTCTGTGGAGCTATTTCATGCTAATGAGGGGAAATATGTGAGGCTATCAGCCCAAACTGTGAGGATATCACCCCAGATATACATAGAAACCTCGCCCCGTCCATGGGGTAACTCTTGCATCTACTTTTGTTATGTAGACATAAACTGAATACATCGTGTCTGATCTGCACGGTATCTCGACATCCAACATATCATACAGCTATTATCATACTCACCGACAGAAACACTAGATGTGGTCATATTCGCCGTCGTGTTTTCAACTCTTGCCTTCGGAGTTGTTAGGTTTATAGTGGTTTGTGGGATGGTTGGGATAGGTGTAGTGATGTTGGCTGTTGTATTTCCAATCATAGTAGGCTTCGGTGTTATATTTTCCAGAGTGGAACTAGGTGTTGTGAGGTTGGCTGTAGTATTTGCCTTGGTAAGCCTTAGTGTTGTGACGCTTGCAGTTGTGTTTAACCCAGTGGGGCGTGGTGTTCTGACATTAGCTGTAGTATTGGTCATGGTGGCCCTCGGTGTTGTAATGTTTGCAGTTGTGTTCACCCCAGGAGGACTTGGTGTTGTGAGGTGGGCTGTAGTGGCGACCAAGGTGACCCTAGGTGTTGTTATGTTTGCAGTTGTGTTAACTACTGTAGGACTTGGTGTTGTGAGGCTGGCAGTCTTTCCGACAGTAGGCCTTGCCGTTGTAAGATTCGCTGAACAAAATAAATTGACCTGGTAAATCTTCACACAAATGGCAAGTATGTAATAGTAATTTTACCAACAATAGACGATATTCTCACGCCGGTGGCCAGTATTTGATAAAAATGTTACCAACAATAGATGAAATGTTTTGTTAGGTGTGAATAATGAACAATTCAAGGAAGTCAATAATTTCTATAACAAATGATAATACGATCCAAAAATTTACCAGTGCAAACTCGACCGGTTCTGTTCAGCTGCTGATCAGTATATCCTGGGTTGCAGGAACACATGAATGAACCGACCGTATTCGTGCAAAATCCATTTGGTGAACAGTCATTGTTCGTCTCGTTTTGGCATTCATCGAAATCTAGAAGAAGACGTAAATGTAAATATATGTTATTTGTGCGTTATTATTTAGATGATTCACATCGATGCACTAGTTTTTGTCAGATAATTATTATTTACAATGTACATCTAACTCTTTTACTGTTTGTAGTTTCTAGTAAAATGGTGATAATATTGTAAGCATAATTTTGCTATGAATCACCACTGTACCTGTGAAAGTTATATTCGGGGAGATCCCCAGATCCGTTCCATTATTTGCCGTCGTTGCGCCCATAAGAGCTGTTTCTAGATCCACTGCCGTGACGTTGGACGTATCTCTTACATCCACGGTATAGTCTGCTACCACACTGCCTGGTCTAAATCCTATAATCGTTACTTTTACAACTGCAAATGACACTATAGTTTGTCGAAATAGAGAAGTGATCTGAAAATAGAAAGAAATCCACAACCGTTTACAGAGTGAACCACAAGAAATAATCCTTCACTAAGACATTGGAATATACCATATTAAGATCAAAATTTTAAGTCGCGATATATATAAATCAAAACTACGATATGCATCGTGAGTTCGTATTTTCAGAGTTGTCAAGAAATTTAGGCTGTACGATAGGATTATATGGATGAAGGTATAAAACTATTTGGTTGGTAAAAGTTTGGCCATGATGTATCTGCATTGTGATGGTTCGTTTTGCAAAGAACTGTGCATAATAATTGTCATTGGAAGAAATTATTTCAGAAGGGGGGGGGGATAAAACTGCACATCTTATATATGTCCGTACATCCGTACCTGTTATGAAAGAGTTTTACATCTGATATTTGATACAGCCATATCACATTTTATTTAGAGCCTGCATACTCATTGACATGACATACTGTAGAGTTATGGCAACCAATCCGTGTGTCTGAGAAACCTTACCGTGACAGTGACAGTAACGACGAGCTGTTTGTACATCGTTGATGCAGGGTTGGTAAGGTCTGCACTGAATGATTGTTTCGTCAGGATCACTGCTGACTTCAGCTTATTAGATGCTAGAAAAAAGCAATATCATAATTGAAAGTGATCTCGAGCCAGTTTAGCTCAATGAAGAGCTAATCTTCCACTGGTCGTGACAGAAATGTACATGACTGATAATTATCTCTATAATCTATATACCAGGGTAGAGATTGCAAAATGGCAGAATACCAATTGAGATCGGAGTTCTGTCGACAGAGATCTGTCGACAGAGATCGCAATCAGAGTAAAGAAAAATCTGCAGACTCTGATCGGGATCTCTATCGGTAGACTATCCTGGCAGAGATCTTGGTCAACAGAGGCTTGCTGGTACTGCCGAATTGAAATCTCCACGCTGATATTTTAATTAAGTACGTAACGTGAAACATTTCAATCACAGTCAAGTTCATTTATTGCAATTCAATAAGTACATCCTTGTAACTATGACTAGCAGGATAGCTGTGACCTGATGTGCAAATATCTTATACCTACGTGTTGTAATTGAACTTCGTAATTTATTTCCTACTTACCAATGCATGTACCGCCTTCATCAGTATATCCAGGACGACAGTTGCACTCATAATGACCGAAGGTGTTCCTACATATCTGATTGGCATTCTCGTTGCAGGGACTATTGTCACATTCGTTGACATCTAGAAAGGAAGCATGTGAACTTAATGTTCTCTTCTTCACAAGTTCCGAAGAGAACCCCACTTTCTGTCTATGCACAGATAACACAACAAGGTATAGGGTAGTGCGCACCGACACGAAATGCTGCCACACAAGCTAGGTGTGGAAGCACGAATGACCGGGGGAAGGGAGACGGGATGGGGGAATGGGATTAATTAGAGGGGGAGTGGCTACAGTACCATCTGTGCGCCGACAGAAAGTGGAAATTATTTAGGACCGTACATGCTTTCTGGTTTTCGTCAATTTCATTGATAAACTTATTATGGAATATTTATCTTAATCTCAGACCCCAAGAAAAAGTATAAATAGGTCTGTTGACTTGTGAAGTGGCGAACATGCGTATATATCATATATATCAAAGGTAAGATCCAAACCTGTGCATGTCCGGCCATCACCAGTGAAACCAGGCTGACACTTGCATTGAGGTGGGCTGGAACCGTCTTGGGTGCAGACGGCATTTGGGGAACAGCCTGATTGGCTACTGCAAGGCACTAAAGTAACCCGAAAACAAAGTTAAACATAAGCATCTACAGAGTGACATTGAAACTGAAAGACGAGTAGATACTACGACTGATGTATAACGTAACCAGTTCTAATATAGGGTTAGACTACACAAAACAAGAATGAAAGTTATAGATACATGTATTGAGACGTAAAATTACTAAAGGACTAAGTAACAAATTGCATACTCAACTCACACAAGTCACAGTTTTTCCGTGCAATGCTTGTAATTGCAGTACAGTAATCTTCATTATCAGACTGGTAATCGGCGTAATAGGGCAGCATGAAGGTGACACGAACACAGATATAGGAGTAAGCTTCACAAATAACTTTCGATGAGAAGTCGATTTGCGCAGAAATGTCTCTTATCAGCGTGGATGACTTCTTCCTTATGCCGAGCTGTACCTCACTCTCTGCTTGAGTTGAAAGAGTCACCGAAATTTTGGCTGATTTTGTCGTGGCTGATTCCAGCTCAGCAGCATCTGTTAGATAAAGCCCAAACGTGTACTGTATTCCCTCAAAACTTGGTAAGTCTGCAGTACCATCGTTACCAACGTTGACATCAAACTTGATATCCATGGGTGCGGCGGGAGAGAAGGTGTCAAAACCCGTATATGTGACAGAGAACCTTTTGAGGATGATGTCAATGTACGGTGGATTGCCAAAATCAACAGGAGTGGCAGCAAAATTCAGCGAGGCTCTGTCAACGTCGGAAAGTATCCCTGACTTGGAAGCAGCCAAGATGGAAGTCTTGATGTCAGCAACGGAAGCAGTAGTTGAGGTGATTCTAAACACGATCTGTGGACCGACGACCCTGCTGGCAAAAATTAACATTCACGCATAGTAATACCTTAATGTAAGGTTACATCACTGAAAAAGACTCAATGAAGGGGACACTCGAATAACGCTTAACAATGAATTAACAATGATGTTAAGTACACATGATGTCAAATGTTCTACCAAAAGATAAGAACTAAATCCCCCGGTGCTTCAATACATTGCTTACGTCTAGGCATGTTTTTTTATTAAATCGCATGTTATCTAATAGATCACAGTGGCATTAAAATTAGGTTAAAAATTGCTTGAACATAAATACCCGCTTCTTATTTCCACGGTGTCTTGGTAAAAGAATCCTGTGTTTGATCGAAGGCGTTCAGCAGTCTATAAAAAGGCAACATGTATATGAAACAATTATTTTTGCATTTTCTTCATATGAAATCCGTGTAAAAGAAGGGAATTTATATCGTTTGCTATCATTGTTCATATGCCTGTCCAGACTGTAACAAGTAACAATGACTAAACTCACTGCAACTGAAACAGCCGATGCTTTTGCTGACCAAGTGTCGGGGTCGTTGCTATCGTCCTTAATCACAGATTGGAGGTAGGTTACCGTAAATACTGTAAAAAAAAAACAAGGGAGGGAAACGTATTATTGAAAAGCTACCAAATGTCTAATAATTATCCAGTGCACTAATTATCAGTACCGATCCTATCTATTCATACAATTAATAAAAAATACATGCACACTTCCGTAAAATAGAGCATTTGAAAGATAGTCAAACCCAATTCAATGAAATGTAGTCGAACGAGAAAAAGGTCTGCACACATACAGCCATAAGATGATAGAAGAACGTACCATTTGTAAAAACTTTCCCACCCGTCTCGACAGCAAGCGACCCTATTTGCCCTGTCATCACTGATTCACCTAAGACACTTGACAGATCTTGGAAGGCGTAGCCTAAGTTATTCATGCGAAACACGGCTCTGACGTGGTCGCCTCTGTAAATTTTAGTCAAAGGATATTAGATGAGTGCCAAGGATCAATGTGCAATACTATTCATCTTAACTTGACCTTCACACTTCAAAACATGAAAATCGCTACGCTATACGATATCGGAAACACCCTCCCCCCCCACACACACATTTGCACACATATTAGAGAGCTAGAGAAAAAGGGAGATAACTTACGCTCCTTCCGACTTCCTTAGATCGACCAGTTCTAAAGCTTGCAGTTCAGTAATGTTTGGATACAAGGAATAGAGCTAGATAAAAATCGATGAAAAGAAGTGATTAGCGTTTGAACAAAGCTAGGGTGTATATAATAATATAATATCATACTAAAAAGCCATATGACACATAGGCAAACAAATTTCGATATATCAATCGTGGCGAGCAAAGCATAATGTGGCTCTTAAAGGTCACTAGTTATAATATGCATGGGTGTCTAATCTTGACATGAATAATATGTACTCCAATGACATCACGCGTGCATTTTCGTTTCAAATTGTATACCTACCGCAAATTCGACGTTTGTTTTCATGGTAATATATTCGGTGGAGGTTTTGTTTGACAGTTTGTTGTCGTATGGACTTGCCAGTTTAAAGCTTCCGTAACTGTATGTCAATCCTGAAATGTTACAAGATAAAAGCTATGTCAGTAGTGAGAAAATATTGATCATACGTCATGTTGTTGAATAGAAGCTAACTGCTCTTATGATCAACCAGAATGAATCATTGATAATTGCTTGTTAAACATACCATAACAGAGAGGCCTGAGAACAGTGTTCCGGAGGTCGTCGAGGCTGTTCAAGCTACTGCTCCGCGACAATTGCTTCCTGCTTGCTATATCTTCTAGCTGCGTCTGGTTGGTTAAGCTGTCGACGCTGAAAGCATACATCAGTATTCCAGCAGTCTGTGCAGCCATAGCTGCATTAAGAACCTCATCCTCCGAAGAGGAAGCAATGATGAAGACAGCAACTTTAGGAGCATTCGTGCGCGCACCATTTCGCTCCGAAAAAGTGCTAGCCGTAATAAATGAAATGGCTGTCCCAACTTTGTTACCACCTCCCACCAGCACAAGGGCGTCGATGGCACTGCTCAGGGTGTCGATGTTTGTGTATTCTCCGAACTTTATCTCTTGTCGTGGGCTGTCACTGAATTGTACTACACTGACTTGCTGGTTGTTAGGAGAGACCAGAGAATCTGAAGCAGCTTTCTTTATCCACTCCTTCACTCTGGCAAAGCTGTCAGCTCCCATCGTATCAGAGCCCTCAACAACATACACGATGTCTTGTACTACATCACAAGGTGGACCTGTGGCAACATTTTGGTAGAAGCTGCTAAATAGGAGATAAAAAATGTTCAAATTTCAAAGGAATACCATTTATAACATACTGTGATATCAGCATTTATTTTACAACACCAACATGACTAGAGTATTTTCTCATACCTCTATCACCAACAGTGACCGATGTTTCTACGGACAGATCTCCGAGTGTTCCAGATGTTACAGCCACATCAACGTTGGACTTTAGGTTAGAGCTAAAACTAGACGTCCCAACAGTTGTCACGACAGCAACAGTATCATCGCCCCTGTGAATGATAGATAGCACGACTGACGAATATGAATGGCAACTATTGTTACAACGCATTTCCATCTTGCGTCTTCTTCGTCTACAACCCAGCGACCATAAGCATTGTTAAGATGATATAAAACTAATAGATACGTTTGCATGGGGCTTAGCATGTATGATTAAATGTTATGCACCGATGATATTAGAATAAATGGTAATCATTACCTCTATGAACAAGAATTCGGAGATCTCATACCTCCATGAAATAGAGTTTTTGTAAATGTATTTTATTTGTCTCATTGACTATGGAAATAAGGTAGTAATTAGCATAATCAACATCCGGAAACAAAAACCGGAAGTTCTGCTGCAGTACCAAGGTCTGTGTGTGTGTGTTTGTGTTTCCGCACATTTGTAGTCAGCATAACTTCAGAACGCCTTTATGGATCGTGATGATAATTGGTACGTTGGTAGATCTTAGAAAGACAAAGGTCGAGGTTAAATATTGGCCTCCTGGTGGCTGACCTTGGTACTGCAGCAGAACTTCCGGTTTTTGTATCTATTGTCCTGAACATGATATGGTCTTGCATTTTTGGTGACAGACAGCTTTTTCTGTCAGGAATAAGTGGTGTAAGTTTTGTCTTCCTAGCAGCTTGTTCTGGAACGACAGGTTAGTTTCTGGTAAAAGCTTTTAAAGCAGATAAGTCAGGAAAGGAACAACGTAGTTTCATCATTTTTGGTGTATAGGTGGCTTATAGAGAGATGTACTTAATTAAATGCAAATTATGCAAATGAATTCTTGTTGAGTTTGCGGTTGCCCTGCTGATACAGAAGAAACTGTGCATTCCAAATTGGAATTGTAACAGTGTTAGCCACCGTGAAAAAGAGGAATTACTTACGCCGTCTGGAAACCAATCAGCCTTACGGACACGAAACCTTGCACTACTGACAGAACCGGTAATAACTGCAAAGATAATAATAGGATGGCTTTAAATTGGTGGATAAAATGATACAATTGCAATCTTTATCCATAGTGCTCTCACCTATATAGTTCTATAGTTACTTTTCATAGTTTTGTTAAACAAATGTCCTCTTACCGCTTTCTCTACGCGAGCTCCAAGGGTGTAGAAATCAGAGGAACTCATCACCAGTAGATTCTTTGTGAAGGATTGTTTAAGTTGCAGTCCAACAAACTTGGGCAAAAGTTCTGTAAATCAGCAGTAAGACATTTAAGATTATCATCACTCTCAAATTCAATGTGCTTAATCGCCTTTGTCAGATATTGTAAAAAAACATACATTGTCATAAAATAGGCAAGAAACATCGACTACAAGAATAGCTTGATAACAACATGTGAAGTTACCTTCTTCAACAAAGATTGCGGAAGCTGGATCAACCGTGAGGTTGCCGATGGTTCCACTAGAGACACTGACTGAGAAGGTTGTTTGTAAATCTTGAGCTGCGTACGCTGTCACCACGATAACGAGAATGACTTTTACGGTGTTGGAGGAACTAAGGAGAAACAACAGCAACATGAAGACTTACGTTTCACCAAGCTGGCTTGTTTCGTAGTTGTTGACAACATGTAATATATTGAGTGAATGATGCCAGCTGCGTAGACACCCAAAATGATCACTAACTAATGTACATGTGTGCTGAAGTTCAAGATCCATTGTTGTCTCAAAGTGGTAGAGATGGAAATATATCACTTATGATTAAACTTGATGTACCTTTGCTGAAATTCAACAACTTGCACACTTTGAAATCCAACTACGACGTTCAGAGTAATCGTGAACTGAAACGATAAAATTCATAGTTTAAGAAATATCAGACATAGACATGGATATCAATTCATCGTCATCCAGTGGTGTTATGTCATAGCACCACAAACCGTATACATTCATACTGAAATTTTGACTGCATGATGTGAGATATCATATATATTCTTACAATTTATTTAATAGCCTTGTCAATGTAGTACCTACCGAGACTTGTATCTGGGTGGCAAGTGAGATGAATGCTACAGAACTCGGATTTCTCAAGTCTTCTGTGTACTGAACGTTGACAATAGCAGAGGCATATGTCGGAGCTGAGACTACATGAACAAAGAAATAATGTCAGATATTATCGACTGGGGGAAAATATGAGAAGTAACATGTTACTTTCACCCATATGTGTACGCTTATGTATTTGTGAAACAAAACGGGTATTCTCGTAGAAAAAAGTTATGCAGTACCTGAACATATTGGTCGGAAAAATTCTCCTCTTAAGATCGTCGAATAATTGAAGGTTTCAACCAGTGCGACTTTGTCGGTGGAGCTAGCAATCTGATTTAGCTGTGATTCCACAGCCCCATCAGTGATTCCAACAGCAAAGACGACAATGCCTGCTTGTTTGGTCTTTTGGGCAGCCTATGAAGAAATAACAATGATTTTTATTCAAGTTGTAAGGCGACCAAGGCGACCACATTTGATACTAGAAAAGCACCGTGTTTCGGATCATGACTGTCATAATCTTACCTTGGATACGTCGTCATAAGACCGTCCATCCGTCACAACGACAATGACATGGCCAACATCAGGTCGGGCGCCATTAGCTGATGTGAAGCTGTTCTGGATTGCATATTCTATAGCAGCACCTAGAATGGCGATAAGAGATACAAAACTTTTGAAACTCAAGTCTTTTGAAACTTACAGAGGAAACTTACTCTACATACAGCTAAACAATCATTGCCTAACATGTTGGCACTCCCAAATATGAGTAACACGAAACCACGATTTTACAAAAGACGTAAACTTTGATTATTGGCCCAAAGTAAAAGTTTGTCACCACTGAGCCATTTGGTGTGCCTTTGAAATGATTAAGTAATGGAAAAAAAAATACCTGTCCGTGTACCACCTCCCATGTAGGGGATGCCTTGGATTCCAGACTCGAGGTCTTGAAGGTTGCTGAATGTATCCAGAGCAAATTCCTGTCGAACAACATGGCTGTATTGCACAACGCCTACCCGGGTGGTGAGCAGCGCAATGCTAAAGTCTCCTACAATCTTTTTAATCCCTCCCTTTACTTTCTCGAAGTTTCTACGTCCGACACTGCCAGACCCGTCGACGACAAAGACGATATCCACAGGATTGTTGCAAGGAAATGCTGTGAAGTGCAAAGACACATAACGTTGATCCAACCAGGTTAAGAATAGTAACAAGTCATTGTTATGGAAAGGAAACAAGGAAATAAAGTTGAAATCAGCAATAGTTTAATTCGGGAGATAAGATAGCGTGCAAGTTTTACCCTGCTTAGAAATTTTAGGTAATGCCATGATAAGATAAATCGTACTGTCGCTTATACTATGTACCTGTTGACCCTGTGAGGAATGTCTGAGAGTCGACAGTGATTGTTCCAATCTGGCCAGTTGCTACAGCGGTTGACACGGAGGTAACGACAGACGCAGAGGCGGTCACAGTTACCTCTATCCTTATCGTGACGACTATGTTTAAATCTCTGTTGATGAAGTGAATATATTCATTATCTTATTGTTATTATGTACCACCTGTTACATGACTACGGTTGTTAAACACACACCACTACCAGTGGACTAGCCCCCTGCACAATTGTATGGCCCAAGGGCTACTGAACCGCAAATGAGGGCGCCGCCGGCCTATGCACAATGTGACCTTTTAAATTATGAACAGGGAAATGTTAGAAATTAGGAGCACTTAGCATTTAGCAGACAATAAGGATCAGGACAGTGGTTTTCCACCAAAGGTAAAGGAGACTCCAACATTTAGTCTATCCACTAAACTCACAAAACGACATTATCAAGCAAACATGCATACCGATACTGCTTTCTAACTGTTGATCACCACAAGCATTGAGTATAATAAACAGCTGCTCTCAGACAGTTAACAGGCGTACTCACATAGCTTTGAATTCAACCACTTGGACAGACAACACTCCAGAAACAGCTGAAAGAGTGGAGAGTACCTGAAACAAGGTACGTACAAATACCCATATGAATTCTGAAAATGATGTGTAACTTATAGAATATCTTATATACCACAATATTCACAGGAATAATTCTATTCAAAGTTTATAACAACATTATACATAATAAGTCGCGGTTAAATAGCTGATTTGATACCTTGAATGTTTAAGGGGGTGATCAGGCTTTAACATTTTATACGCATAGTGCATATCCGTGGTTATGATTATCCCAGATATCTTTGGGATCGGTCATGATGGAAAAATTTAGATAAAGACTATCCGATACACACATCGTATAAAAGCAAGAAACGGCGTTGGTCATAAAGGAATGATGTACAATGGCCTTACCGAGGTCTCTACTGTCTTCCTAAGCTCCACGTACTCCGTTGTTGTTGAAACAAGAAGTGCGGAGGTGAATGACTGCTCTATTACGAAGGCCGTGAAAACACTCTGCGTCTCTGTTAAAACGTGACAATAAAATTTACAATATGTCATGTATTACAAAATATGTCGGATTAAAAACCGAGAAAGGAAGATGTATAAACAGCTAGCCAATGTAGCTCATCACATAGCCGTGTCTAATTAAACACATACCCTCGGTTACTATTCCTGCAGACCCAGGCACCACTATCAAAGAGCCAATAGTTCCACTGCTCACAGCTGTATTAAACGTTTGTGTTAAGGTAGCGGTCGCATACGTCGTTACGGAGATGGATATAACTGCTGTCACGGTTGTTGATGTCCTGTTTTAAAATAAGTTGTAAATTTGAGGAACGAATAGAGAACATTGTTAACTTAGAAAAAAATGATTACAAGTACTACATAAAATGCTATTAAAGTTTTTAAGTGGGATCTTTGGAAAATAGTAGTTTTATGGCAAAACCACAAGTATCTCCATTGAAAACGATATTGTCAAATAACAAAACTTACTTTTGCCGAAATTCAACAACTTGCACAGACTGAAAGCCAACTACACTGCTAAAGGTGGACACCATCTGCATGTCAGAAAGATGTTACTTATTAGGCAAGTCAGGATATTCGTCATGTACAAAAGGAATTGATCTAATTTCAAAATATGGTTATGGTATCGCAGAATTAAGAAACGAGAATTTACATACGTTCACGCGAACTTCCTCAGCAAGTGAGACAAACGTAGCCGATCCTGTGTCTCTCAATTGTTCCGAGTAAACAGCCTGGACCACAACCGAAGCAAACACGGGTGCAGTAGCTGAAAAATATATTGTCATACTGCCTAATTTAAATATTCATAGAATTGATGTAAAGAAACAAGAATCCCCAATAAATTGTCGTTTAATCAAATGGTTCAAAACCATGATGGTAATGCAACTATACATACCGCTACATACAGATTGTAGCAACGAGTTGCGGATATCGTCAAGGAGGTTGAAGTTATCAACGACACCTAGCGTCTCATTGGTGCTGGCGATGTCCGTCAGCTGATCTATGTCGTAATTGCCCACGCCAACAGCATATAGCACAATGCCAGTCTGACGCGTTTCGAGGGCTGGTTGGCCCACGCTATCACTGGACCGTCCATCCGTAACAACAACAGCTACGTGAGGTACATTTTTACGTGCACCGTTGCTCTGTTGGAAACCTTGCCTCCGTAGCCTTGTCAGAGCTTTTCCTGTCATGGTGCCCCCTCTCAGGTATCTAATCTCTTCGATTCCAACAAGGAGATCATCTAAAGTACTGTGGGCATCCAACGCAAACTCCTGTCTAACCTGCTCGAATGGGGCATACAGATAAATTTAACTTTCAGGTTTAAAGAGAAGAAATTACAAGTAACCGACAGAACCACATACAACAGCTATCAAATTCTGGTCAACATTATATACGCACGGATGAGCTGTACTGCATCACAGCAACCCTTGTGTTAGATGACCCGATGAAAAAGCCCTTTACAGTCTTTTTCACAAACGCCTTCATCTTATTAAAGTTGGTCGATCCCACACTTCCAGACCCATCCAACAAGAAGATTAGGTCTATGGGGTTTCCACAGGCAAGAGCTGGGGATATCAAGGAAAATGTGTCAACTGTTTTGTCAACAACCACATGTTAGGATTGATGTAATAAAAACTATTATACTATATCTTTGGCATCTAACTTGATGATTGTCAATAATAAATGAAAGAATTGATAGTCAAACGATCCAACATTAATTGGGCATATAAACGCGTTGTAGCAAAATGCTGTCGGTACCTTGTTCACCAGAGGAGAAGAAACTTGTATCCACAGTGATGCCACCAAGAGAGCCTGTAGCCACGGCGACGGAGACAGTCGAGGTAACGGCAGCCACCGTGGAAGCGGTAGCGGTGATTTTTATAATCACTATAATCTGCAGCTCGCTGTTAAAAAGTTAACAGTAGGTTACACCGTATAGAAAACAATGATAACAATATGGCGTTAACTTCTTTTATCAGCTTTTCTGATCATGAAATGACATCCACGTGACGCCGCTTGTAATGTGTTGAGAAAATCGTTCCTCACTTACTTAGCACTGCAACATTAGATCGATCATGACCGTGCTATTCTGTCAACAATGTTTACAATGAAAAGAATGCTTATCTTGTCGTTATCAAAGGCGTTCTATTTGTAAATCAAAAAGCACTAAATGCAACTGTTAAGTGCAAAAGTAGTAAAATAAATAAATAAAACAATGTAGCTTACATTGCTCTGACCTCTACGACAGATATCGACACCACGCCAGGCGAAGCAGACAAAGTAGACAACATCTATTGGGCAGATGAGAGGGTAAATGTAAATGCAACCAAACAAGTTTAAGGACTATCCATGACTGAAATCATTTTTAAATGTGATTAAAATATCTTAAAAACTAAAACGGGGAAAACATGTAAACTTTATTGCACAACAGTTATACAGTATAAACTAAACATACCGAGTTTTCAATCCTCGTCTTTAAAGTGGTATATTCAGTGGAGTCCACATTGACGAGAGCTGCGGTAAATGTTTCTTGAACCTTGACTGACACCGTCGTTTCTCTTGTTTCTGTTAACGAAAAATGATAATGATCTTTGATAAGATAAAATATAAACTGCTTTTTTCTCAACAATAGAACAAACGCCAAATATGTATGTAATACTCTGGAATCAAAGTACATTGTCCGGGTATCACATACTAGTACCTTCTTGTATGAAAACAGCAGAGGCGACATCTACAGTCAGACTGCCTATCGATCCAGAGGAAACCGCAGTACTGAACGTAGTCTTCATAGTCTGCTCTGCAAACTTTTGCGTATTGATGATCAAAACAACTTTCACTGTGTTCCCAGCCCTGAACAGAGAATTAGAGATGAAAAAGGTTTGGTTTAAATTTTTCACAACGATTCTTTAAAAACATTACAAGATTAGCCAAATGCGGTGACGGAAGATTGAAAACAATCTCGCCAATAGTAACGTACATGCAATCCATCATACCATACTAATATAACTTACGCCGGCTGAAATCCAATGACAGAAACGCGTTGAAATCCAACTACCAACACAAGCTGACTGTGAATCTGTAAGGAAAAAGCAACATTAAACGTCAGTAATACTCATCATATCAACGTTATTTAACCTGTCAACGGATGCACGTTACAAAATGCAAAGAATGATTTTCTCGTGTATGAATGTATAAAATGCACCTCGGTTTTTACAGTGGCTGCTAGAGTCTTAAATTCAACAGAGCCTGGATTGCGAAGAACCGCCGAAAACTGTGTCGTGAGAGTAAGTGACGCAAAGACTGGTGGAGTGACTGCAACAGAAATACATCACATAATATAATGTTATAAAGTAATATAATAATCAATACTGATAATTATTATAGCGATGTCATCATGTAACCCGTAATTAATAGAAATGAGAAATGAGATACATCGTTTTGAATACTATGATGATTTGTGATCATGGAATATTAATCTAGATTTTTAAAAAGTCGCGGCTACTGATAAAGCTTTTTTAAAGACGGAATGTACGAGACATACAGATATTATAATTCATTGTTGATCACAAAAAATCTTTAAAAGTTGAACATACTATCGCAAATTCCTGTAAGCAGTGTATTCCTCAGGCTGTCCAAGAGATTGAAGTTTTCCACCACAGCCAGGGTCTGGTTGTTACTTGCAATCCGTTCAAGCTGATCCATATCGTATCCAGATACACCTATGGCATATAAAGTGATGCCCTTCTGCTGTGCCTCTAAAGCTGGTTGCTCGACGTCATCAGAAGACAACCCGTCTGTAACAATGATGACAATTTTCGGGATGCCAGGACGAGCTCCGTCAGATTCTCCAAACCCATATTTTGTTACGTATCTGATGGCCTTTCCGGTCATAGTGCCACCGGCCATAAAGTCAATGTTGTCAATTGCTGAGACCAAACTTTCCTTCGTTTGGAATGAATTCATGGAGAATTCTTGCCTGGTCCTTGTGCTGTATTGAATGATGCCAACTTGAGTTCCTTCAGGCCCAATGTCAAAGCCATTGACTGTCTTTGTGGCGAACTGCTTAACCTTCTCAAAATTGACAGCACCAACACTTCCTGATCCATCGAGAAGAAATATGACGTCGAGTGGGTTGCGACAGACGGTTGCTAATGTGAATGATAAACAAGAAAAGGTAAGAAATATTACAAATTCTGAAAACGTCAAGCATATTACAATTTGCTGTACGAAATCATGCATTCAAATGCGAATGTGCCACAAATTGAACACATCAACCATATGGAACGAAATACCGTCATAAACTAGAGAGCAAAAATGGATATGTCAAAACGAATGGTCAATTACCAGCTTCTCCTGAGACAAATGAGTTCGAGTCCACAGTGATGACGCCAAGAGATCCAGATGAAACAGCAGTGGAAACTGTTGTAATCACGGTCGTTGAGGACGTCGCCGTAACCGTCAGAGAAATCGATACCAGAATATTAAGGCCACTGAAAAGGCAAGGTATAAAATCATAAGATTAGCTAGTCTACGAGTTATGCAATTGTTTTTACTGAAAGTGTAACTTGCAGTTGATATAAATGAGCGGCCGGTAAAAGTTACAACAGACTGTTTGATTTGATACTTACGAAGAGCGAATTTCTGTGACTTGTACTGCTGAGACGCCAGATACACTGCTTAATACAGCAAACATCTAAATATGAAATTTGAAAAAAGGTCAGTATTTCAACATTTATTATCAACTGATTAGTGACAGCGATAACCAATCTAAAGAAGGTTTCGAATCTGACACCTGAGTTTCGATGCGCGTCTTTAACGTGGCAAATGCTTGACTCTCCACAGTTAGAAGATCGGCTGTAAATGCCTCTTGTACGACAAGTGACACGGTCACTTCAGATGTTGCTGCAAGGAAAAGAAAGACGGCACGACTTAATCACCTAAACCGCAAAGAAGAAGTCAATAACCTTAGCACAATGAAAATGAATTACTGAGCAAGAAGAAAGAACAGTCGAGCAAACCAAGCATACCGAAGTGAAGTTTACTCACATTCTTCAACGAAATCAGCTGAGCTTGAGACTACAGTTATAGAACCCAAACTCCCTGTTTGTACCGCTGTGACAAATGTTTGCTTCATGGTGACTGCAGCGTACTCAGAGACAGATACGGCTATAACCACTTTCAGTTGGTTGGCAGGCCTGAAAAAAAAAGCAGCTTTTGGTTGTCCCATTGTGCACACCATACAACCGCAGAGCACATATAAAAACATCGGTTAAAGAAGTACTGCTTGGTAACATAAAAATTCAGTCTTTTTTCTTGCAACTTCTTTGGTGTAACTATCAATACTCACGCCGGTTGGAAGCCGACAATGGAAACGCTCTGTACTCCCACAACAGACACAAGTACTCGTGTAATCTAAAGGAGAGAGCATGTAGTTTAATTAGTCAGATACTTAACACAAAAAAACAAAGAGAAGGTCATTACCACTCAAAACTATAAACATGCCGGTGTAACTATTGACGCACCTCTGTTTTAAGACTTGCGGACAGGGTGGTGAATGCTGCTGATCCCGGATCCCTCAGATCAGCAGTGAACGGCATGTTTACCGTCACAGATGTATAAACCGGCGTGGCGGCTGAAATAGTTATTTAAAAAATAGGAAAATCTATAATACGACATGTAACTTTAAAACACATAAATCACATTATCAAGAATACGGAATTGCCAGCCTGAACATAGAATCTATCTTGCTTCAATTTTAGATAAAAGGAATACATTTTTTTAGAATCACAACGACAAGAAAGACGGAGTAAACGTGAATATGCATACAACACGAGCTTACCATAACACACTCCTGTTAGTAGCGTGTTCCTAAGATTATCAAGGAGGTTGAAGTTGTCCACAAATGCCAAAGTGTTGTTGTTGCTGGCTATTTGTTCCAACTGATCTGCGTCATATCCGGAAACGCCGATGGCATAGACAGTAATTCCCTTCTGTTGTGCTTCTAAGGCAGGTGCAGCAACTGCGTCGCCAGAAACACCGTCAGTTACGACGATGACAACCTTTGGAACACCCAAACGAGCCCCATCAGACCTGCCAAATCCATACTTCGTCACGTAGCGAATGGCTTTTCCAGTCAGAGTCCCTCCTCTCATGTACTGTACTTCATCGATCGCAGCAGATAATGTCTCTTTTGTAAGGAAAGAGTTCATGGAAAACTCTTGTCTGATCCGCGTGCTGTATTGAATAACCCCTACTTGAGTTGTCGATGGACCAATGTCAAATCCACTGATTGTTTTCTTGGTAAACTGCTTGACTTTCTCGAAATTTGAGGCCCCAACACTTCCTGATCCGTCCAGGAGAAAGATAATGTCCAGGGGATTTCGGCAAAGAGTGGCTGAAAGAAAGGACTCGTTCTCTTAGACATGCGACAACACGTCTACACAAATACGATAGGACACTGATTGATACAAATATACAATGACACCGAGTGTAATATTTTAGGTGAAAAGGTTTAAAACAGTAACAAAAAATATGCTAATAGTTAAAAAGACACTGTTCTTACCAGCTTCTCCTGAAACGAAGGACGTTGAGTCCACGGTGATGGAGCCAAGAGATCCAGATGAAACAGCCGTGGAAATTGTCGTTATAACTGTAGTTGAGGACGTCACCGTAACCGTCAGAGTAATCGAGACCATAATGTTAAGCCCACTGAAATGATACGTTATAAAATGAATAATTAGGCACAATGCAGTTTGGACAACTTGTGACAATGAGTGTATCCTACCTCAAAACATACAGTCAGTGCAAAAAAAAACGGATCCGAAGGTAAAAGATGCAACAAAAATCTCATTTTATACTCACGACGAACTGAAGTCAGTGACCTGTACTGCTGAGACTCCGCTTACATTACTGAATACGGTAAACATCTGAAATTTATTTTAAAAAGTCAATATATTAGTTGAACAGCATTATTGACCGATTCGTTACATAATGATTAACAACATAGCAGTAGACGCCCTTTTCTTTACCT